GCGCGAGCATAAGCTTTAGTGCCCCATACGAATTTGACACAGAGCTATAGACAATTTAATAGCGAAAAGTAAGGAGTCCGGCTTCCTTAAAACTGGGTGTAATTAGTTGGACGACTTTTTCATAAAATTTCAAGGTTAAAGTTGGGATCATCTAATTAAGAAATACATATTTTAGAAAAATTGATTTCCTTATGTGGCATCCTTCACCATAGCTAATAGAAGACCACTCAACACACTACCGTTTACCGTGAACACTACTTAATTTTCAACCATTCATCTTCGCTTTGGGCAATCTCGTAGTATACGCAGTCGAAGCTGCAAGTGCTTGTGGAATTGGCATAAGTCCCGGAAGGCCATCCATCGAAAAAGAATGTATGCTCCAACCCCCTAAAACAGGGTAGAGTTATTTCGCGGTATATACTGTTATATATCCGTCTTCTATGGTACGAATCACTTTGACTGTATATAGCCGTTCAAAACTTAAGGCTTGGTTTCAAATTGAGTTTCTTTTAGAAGCAGATTTAAAACAATAATGTTCATGGCCGTTGACTAATAAATGTTGTTTTCACAAGGTAAACAGAGGGAGAGAGAGAGAAGAAAATGTATGGTGCTCTGAATACATATTTTCTGTCTCATTCTTTTACCCTGCCGTTCGAGAACCATTCAGAGTGCCTTACTTATATGAATGTTATATGAATCTGTGTTATTCGAGCATATACTATAGTGGCATCTATTGTAGAATTTTTTATTTCCGATAAGCCATTCCGCAAACCATCTCCCTTAAAGCATTTGCATTTTGTTGTAATTTTGTGAGGTGTCTTACATTGCCAACATATATATATATATATATATATATTCCAATATACATTACATCAAACTAATCCTTCCTGACCACCAATCTGCCCGCGCAAGTATAGTAGACATTACCTAAAGGGCTGATCAATACCAAAAAGAGTATATTCCGTGTACCGTTGAATAATTATTTTATCAGGAACTTCACGTTGCACTTCACATGCGACGACCCCGAACAAACTCTTTGAGAATGTCTGCGATGTAAGCGATACATTGATTAACTAAAATATATAAGATTTCCGAAATGAGTGGCGTAGACATTTAATGCACAATTTACTCTCTGGACGGAATGATAGAACATTGCCTTTACCTATGGCAGCGTGACCCCACAAAACTTCTAAATTTACCGCTTTCAGAAGACTACCGAATTTCGATTTAGCTCCAACATTGACAAATCTTGCATCAAATTTTTCGACTAATTGCACCATTTTGGTAAGAGACCATCTTAGCGAATAAGATCGAATTTTTTCTTTTACTCAATGCCGTGAGCTAAGATTCCACAGAAATATTATTGAAATCAATTGGAAAGATGATTACCAACCAAAGTGACTTTGGTTCCCTATTTGGCACAAGGACGATTACTAATATGTTTTTTAATATATATTTTATATATTTCGTGATAATAATGGACATTAAAGAATGGCCTTAGCCTCAGCAAATTTCACATCCAACCCATGTCCGTTTATGGGAGCTGTTGAGCATACCCTTTGACGTAACGAATGGTCCATTAGCTCTTCAGCTCTTCATAACAATGAATTAATGTTTGCATGTTTGCCTGCATATATATATATATGTGTGAGAACGATAAACACTTTGAGAAAACATGCAATATTTTGCATTTCTTGTTTTTTTTTTTTTTCCTGCATTACCTATAAACAATGAGAACGCAATCGTATTTAATTATCATTACGCACGTGCATACCTATAAGGTTTGTTTTCGTTTATTTAAATACTTATATTTGATTTGCTTATTTACTCGTTCGTATGAAAATACATACATTGTATAAAAAAATATCAAAATAAAAAGAGAATCGTATCCATTAAATAGACACAGTATCCATGTAATTAGTGTGAATTTTATGGAAACAGAGATACAGAAAGCGAGAAAAAGAGATAGGGAGAAAGAGTGAGTAAGAAGAAAAACAAAATGAAAACACATTTATTAATAATGCATATGCAATTGCAATGGATGATGTGCTTGGAGAGGCAGGCAGTCGTAATTGAGGTTTTATATCGAAAGCACCGTTATTTGGCCAATCTAAGCCCCAATTTAAGTAGTTTCCTTAAGCAAAGCCACCAAATGATTCTTTTTCGCCTTATCCGATTTACTATATTCATCCAGAAACTAAAAATAGAAACCAAAAAAACCAAATAAGGAAACGATTCGAATTAACTCGAATCAAGTCATCAGAGTTCATCAAAATGTTATATGCATTGGTTATTATTACCTCTAAATTAAAATCACGACCTATCACATTGCGAGCATTTTGATTTTGAAAGGTTAAGGTAACAAGGCAGGGATAGACAACCACATTCAAATATTCAGGTAATCTGGTTAAATTTTTTATTATATTCGAACACTGTTCTGAGGTCAAAAGATCCTGAAAGACAAGAAAATAATGCGAAAAGAAAACAAAAAAAGAAAAAAGTTTTCATGCTTGTGCTTTAATAAATAATAAAATAATTGAGAATGTGTGTGCATAAGAGCAATAATTCATAATTTATTCTGTTGTTTAAACTCACCTGATTTTGTTTGTTGTTTGCACAGAAAAAACCAATGCTGGCAATTAAATCAATTAAAACTGCTTGAGTTTCACTATTTTTAGCTGCCGTGCATTTAATGCCACAATACTTGAGTAAAATTGTCACAACATCGAGGAATTTTAATGAAATTGCTTCCCCGCTTAATACTTCCTAGAAAGTAGAAAAAGACATATATGTATGAAAAATATATAAAAAAAAAAAAAATTTTAATATAAACTAATCAACTTATAACGAACACTATCAATACCACCGAGAAGTTTGCATACACGAAGTGACATACAGACTATTATTGTTCGGTTATACCGAAAAGTGAACGTAAGAGACGTGACTAACGTATGTAAATTTGACAGCGAAACTAAACAAAACGATAAAAACTTCAAGTCACTTGTCCCTAACGAAAACCTTCTTCAATAGTAATCGTATAAGAAAATTTTTTCTACGCACACTTTTGCTTCAACAAAGTAATATGGAAATCAATTTTTTTAACACACACTCACATTTAAAGTTAAAGGTAGTGGCGTTTAAAAGGCAAATTCAGTGTAGCCATAAGTACTTTTTGGCAATTTTTCGAGTGGAGGGGATGATAGTGGTACTTGGATACTTGAGGTAGGGAGGCCAGGAATCACGGGAAATTCATGCGAGGCGAGGTACAAAAGCAAGCCAGAAGCCTGGAGTTTGAAGATCAATAAGTTATGGTTAAAGGACTCTGCTAAATGCTGCGTAACAATTCTCGCAAACAATTTAGCTCAAACATGCAATGTTTTTATAGTTCTCAACGTGATGTCTGTTTCGAAATTTGTGAAGCGGAATTCAAGGACTACAGCAGAGAGAAAAATGAAAATATAATATAGGTATTTAAATATGTTTTCATGCAAGTAAAAGGGATCAAACATTTCCAAGACTAATTGCGTGGTTCCTTTATCAGCATTTGTTCAAAGAAGAGTCGAATTTTTACTACAAATTTTACAATGGCAACGCCTTTATACATGTGATTGGGATAAAATATTCAACTTAGTATTCGCGGTGCAATTAAGTAGGTCTGCCCTTTTGTCATGTATTACGGGAAATTACTACCGAAATTACAAAGCTATATATCCATAATGACTATGTATGCTTGATTAGTGAGACCCTATGTACAGCGACCAATATCTCTTCATTTTATTCAAATCATTAGTATTTTCAGCTCAACTACTTTATCACTTATTTGAAAATCCTTAACATTTCAAGAGCAACAGGAATGAAGGAAACAGTCCCCCGCCCCGGTTAGCGATGATTAAAACTCATACTGAATCCATCTTAAGCATCCTCAATGCAGAATTTTATCATAAAGGCTGAGTGGTATTCTACGCATGCTACCTAGCACCGTCGAGTAAAGCTACTTTAACAGGATTCCATATAAACGCTGCTCGGAAATATCTGTCCCTGAAAACTATTTATGACAAGTGACAATACTATGATGAGCTACGGCCTATCATTAAATGCTCTACGTTATCCATTATTCAACTGACGACTTTTCGACAATTAAGGCGAAACAGTGATCCGTTTCGAACCATTTTCAATAGCTTTCGTCCTTGGGATAAAATACGTCAGCTTACCAAAGTTCATTAAAATATTTTGAAGATTGCCGTCTACAGGTTGAACACAACATAACAAATAAAAAAAGGACGGACGGACAGACAATCTTAAATCGATTTAAAAGGTGTTTCTTAAAGTAACGTAAAAGCAGATAGGTCTGCCCCCTCCTTCTAAGAATTGCATAGATAGAGTGTAGTAGAATAGCGAACCTTACACTTAAAAATATCGTACATCGTACATTCTTCATCTCATACATGAGATGACGCCCAAGTGTTCACAATATATAGCTAAATATTTTGAATATGCTAAAACTTGTCGATGAGTTATGTATAGTTTTTGCATTTTTTTTTTTTTCTTTTTTTTTTTTTGCTTTTCATGTGATACATTTGTAATTTCAAAACGAGAGATATGCAAACGTAAGTAATCGTCATGTCGTGCCATTTTTCTAATAATAGTATCTATATCGATAACATGTATGGGGGGAGGGGGAGAAGGACGATTTTAGAATAATATGCCAACGTGAACGTGAAATGCGCAATGAAATGTCAACAAACAATCGAAAATCGCGTATTGGCATTTCATGTTATATGACGAATAACAAGTAAATATTTTGACACTTTAGTTGAAATATCACTAAACTGACTACATACGCATATGTACATATATAGGGGGAAAATCGTGACATATTACATACAACATAGTTATACGAAATATATATAGAATATATATATATATATATATATATAGCTTAGCTCGTATCGAATAATGTTTGGATTTTATGAATGAGTGAACGATACACACATACACATACGGAATAAAAAGTAGATTGATTTTAGAATTAGACGTTGATTGTTTCATTTGGTGACGCGTGCAGATACTTGAAAGCATTAGCATCATCAATGAGTATTTGCTTATGTACGACGGAGCATCTTTGTTTAAACAATACACACACATAATATGTACATACTATTTGAAGGAATTAACAGGAAGGAATTCTGTTCGATATCAAGCATAAATAATATAACGAAAACCAATATAAATACATTTCAACGTCGGGCCAGCAACGAATGATATTCCTGGTAAACAGTCATTGGTTTGCTTTTAATGTCGGCAAATCAATGCAACGAGTAGAATATTGAGCGTAAGTAGACTATTATGCTAACTTGGAGTAAATACGCATAAATAAATCTATGTAAATCTTTTACCACCGATCCAACAGGTTCATTTCGTGTTTCATTGTTTGCGTGCATATTTGCCATTAAAAGCATAAGCATTATGTCACATACCATCAAGTTCAAAGAAAACGCATTTTTAACTGCTCTTTTGGAATGGAAGGAAAGATAATCGGGCACAAATAGTCGAACAATTTTTTAAGCATAATATTCAGAACAAAAAATAATATATATTTTTGAAAAATATCAAAAGATGACAACACTGAAACCATATATAATGTGATAGTCCCTGCCCTCTAAGATATAAAATAAATAGTCGTTACGAAACGATTACGGAAATGTTCGAAATTTTATAGAAAAAATTCCTTCATCACCTTTACGTTTTCGCCTACGTTCCGGAATGTTTAAAGCATCTAATTAAGTCGATTCGAAGGAATTTTGAAAATGTGGCATTATAGGCGAAATGGTCAGAACGATAGTCTAATCCGAACCATTTTCAATAGCGTTTGTCCTTTGACCAAAACAGGGCAGTGTACCAAATTTCATCAAAAATTTGCCGCCTGCAAGTTGAATACGAATAAACAACCGAAGGCGGACAGGCGGACAGATCATGTTTGATTGATTGGGAAAGTAATTCGTAATCGAACGTTATAATGAAATGTGGGCATAGTGTACTCTTGTACCACAAGTGGTGTAGAGTGTAATAACAAATTTATAAAAGTTTTCTTCTAGTCAGAAGACGCCGTATTGGTTTGCTGCAAGACAATTGATGATGGCTACGTCGATTAAGTACCACAACATATGGATCATCATACTTTCATGCAATTACTTTATCTCCCTTTCTTTTGGGTGATTTTTACTGACTTTTAAACTTTTTTAAAACTTTCTGCTGAACGCAGATCATTATTAATTTAAACTTGCTTCGTTAATAGAGTGAACCTAGCCTTTCTCTCACCCGTTGTGCGAAGAGAGAAGGGCAAAATCGAACCATCTCACACAAGCCGTTGGATAGAAACCTAGATATAGTCGAAATTAGGCTCGATCTCTCTTAAATACCAGTGATCCAAAAGTTATGCAGAAGATACTCATCAAAGTTGTATAAAAGCTGAGCAGGCTTTAAATAAATGTAAGCGCCTTTGTTATGTTATTGGTTGCAGGATGGCTATTGACGAATCCATTTTAAAACGCACCAAGATCCAAACGAAATATTCTGAACTTATTGAATGATTGAGCGTAAGATCTTAGTGCCGTATCATAGGGACTGTTAAAGAGAAGGTAATCTGTTGCGTTCATTCGCTTAAATATGTGGCGAAAACTGTGCAATTCAAGATCAGGGCGTACAACATTCACCAAAAGGTGAATAGAAAAGCTTATGTTATTAGAGGATATAGGACTATCACCAACAAAGATGGAACCTCTTCTTTTTACTCTTGCATGGCAATATTTAAAACGCGTAAAAGATTCATGTTAGGTCGATATCTCGCGATTACTGAGTGGCTGTTGTTGCCGGGTTCAAGTCCAGTGCGGTAGAGCATACTTAATGGCAGACATAGTGAGTACTTAATCCATGAAGGCTTCCCGTGCTTGTTTTTGACCGTCACTCTATTACACGTACAGAAGCCATTTCCTGAATGGTTGGTCAAATAATCAAAGAATGACTCTTGGGACTGCCAAAAAGCAAAAAAAAAGAAAAAAAAATGATACTCGCTTGCCGCGAGCTCTTCCCTTAACAGGTTTGCACTGAGAAGATGAAAGAAAAATTCTTTTTTTAAAGAGGTGCAATTATATGAAGGAAATCTCTACTTAAAGGGCTTATTACGATAATTATTGTACTTTGCAGTAATAGGCTGGTACAACAAAGCACTAAATATCATATAAAATAAATTGAAATGTAGGGGGCTGTAATACTGATTGCACAAAATGTATCCTGTTAGCGAAGAATCGCACTTGCTGCTTTCTTGCTGGGGATAAGTTTTAGTGTATTCTTTAGTGTATTCGCAAAAGATTTGCGAGCTCGCTCTTACGCATCCCTTCTATTGTAGAAACCAACAGTTTAAGTGAATTTAAAAGGGAATAAGAATACTTAGCGAATAGTAGTAAAGTGGAATTTTTTTTTTTTTTCGAACTTTTAACTTTTCTTGAAAATATTGCTCTTGTAATTTAAGCACATAAAAACGGATCCTTTTGAACACAAAATACCACATAGTGTGGTGCACAATTTTCCTCTTTGAAATTGTTGTTCAAAGCGGCTGTTACGTCCGTTTCCTCTTTGTATGTATCATGTCAATATTTAATCACATTGTATTTGCTTGTTAGGCCAAAATGTTTATTTACGTATCTTTTCTTTTTTTTTTGTTATTCTTTCCTTCTTGTTTATTTTATGATGAATCTTGCAGCAGCAAT